GTAACCTCCCCAGAATATTGTTTTTATAAACTTTGCTAATTTATTTGACAAATGACACCCCCTTAATTTTGTATTCAAATGTCTTGGATTGCCACTGAGATTAAACACTGTCTACCTTTAACAGCCATTTTTGTTTTCTATGTTGTTCGCGCTATGCCTTGTGTATGCCTTTTGAAATTATGTACGTAGTTAACTTTTGGAATTATGGACTTGCAACCTCTTCTGTTTGCATGAATTGTTTTTATAGCATAGTAATTCTCTTTATGCCATACTGAATGCAACTATTCTGTGATGTGTTGTGTTATTTTTGTCAACAGGAAAAAGCCATACTCCGTAAAATAATTTAAAGAGATTTCAAATGAGGTGAAAGCTATGTTGATTGGTTTAACGTGACCACGTCAGATTGTACCAAAAAAAAAAAAAAATCAGCACATTGTACCCCACACATGCATGAATGTATTCATGATCTATGTGTATTTGACTTAATAAAATAAAAAAAATAATTTAAAGTGATTTATTCTGAGCCAAATTTGAGAACCGTGACCTGAAGCCACTCCCAAGAGGTCTTGAGCAAGTGGACTCGTGGTGGTGGGTTACAATTTGGTTTTATACATTTCAGGGAGATAAGAATGACAGATTAATGCAAAAGTCAATACGTGGATGGCACACATTGGTTTGGCCACAAAAGGTGGGACATCTCAAAGCAGGGGCCACAGAAAGCAATGATTTTTCAACCAGCCCTGCACAGCAGGCTAGTGTGCCATGAGAGGATTTTAGGTGTGTCTCCCCTGCCTAAATTTTTTTTTTATTGTTGAGGATTCATTGAGGGTACAAGAAACCAGGTTACACTGATTGCATTTGTTAGGTAAAGTCCCTCTTATACTGTGTCTTGCCCCCAAAAGTTATGTCACAAAAAAAAATTGGGTCGCATACTAAGACCCCCATACCCCTCCCACATTTCCTCTCTCTGCTCGTCCTTCTCCCACCTCCCTCCCTCCTTCACACTCTCTGCTCTTCCTTTCCCTCACCCCTTCCCTCCTTCTCTCTCTTTCCCCACTCTCCCCTTCCCCCTCCCCCCATTGTATACCAGGTCATTAATTGTCCTCATATCAAAGTTGGGTACACAGGATTCATGCTTCTCCATTCTTGTGATGCTTTACTAAAAATAATGTGTTCCCCTTCCATCCAGGTTAATACATAGGATGTAAAGTCTCCATCTTTTTAATGGCTGACTAGTATCCCATGATGTACATATATCACAGCTTGTTAATCCATTCCTGGGTTGGTGGGCATTTGGGCTGTTTCCACATTTTGACAATTATAAATTGAGCTGTAATAAACAGTCTAGTGCAAGTGTCCTTGTGGTAAAATGATTTTTTTCCTTGTGCGTAGATGCCCAGTAATGGGATTGCAGGATCAAATGGGAGGTCTAGCTCCAGTTTTTTGAGGGTTCTCCATACTTCCTTCCAAAAAGTTGTATTAGTTTGTAGTCCCAGAAGCAGTGTTAAATTATTTTTGAAAGAAGTTCAAAACACAGTAAGTATATTCTTTATTTTACTCTGTTTTTTGATCAACATAATTTAAGTGTGCCAAAGAAGTTTAACTGTAGGTTCCAGTGTATCATGATATTAAAAAAAAATTAAAAACACTGGTTTAAAGAGTCTTGAGCTGACAATTGGCTGAAAGAGTTGGGCTCTGTCTAATAGACCAGCAGGACCCAAGAAGGAATGGTGGGTTAAGTAAAGGTCTGTTAATCAGAGACAAACTACTGGACACACGCCCAGACTCGAGGAGTTTGTGTGTATATTAAGGACTGCAGGTATGTCTTGCATAGTCTTAGGCCGGTTAAAGAATCACAAAGGACATCTCCAAGAAGGGGAGGTTGGCATGAGGAGGCATATTTGATTTCATTTCTCACAGCTAGCAACTCAGTTTTAGGGATCCCTTTGGCCAAGAGGGCGTCTGGTCAGTCAATCGCTAAAGGGGGAGCCTTAAGATTACCTATTGCTAAGACAAGCAGGAAGCTAATTTTGTGGTCTCAGTAAGGATTTTGAGAGGAGGAACTGACCCCAGAAACTCTATAAAGGTACACGTGTGACACTACTAGGTCCTCTGCCAACAAATTCCAGGCTGGGACTTCTGCTGTCATTATGCTCACGAACACCAGGATTAGAAAAAGAAAAAGAACAATCCTCTTCCTTCTCAGATATGCTGCAAATAACACAAATAACAACTACTGCTGACTTTCATCTCCTGCTAATCGTGTGAGGCACGCACTGGGAAAGCGCATATACAAATTACACACGATTATTATTACTCCCATTTTACAGGCAAAGATGTGAAGGGCAAGAAAGGTCTCATCATTGTTCCAAAGTTGGGCAGCTGAGAAGTGGGTTAGCAAGGCTTGAAAGGAAGTTAGTTCACTTCTGGAGCCCACACTCCACCACAACGACATCCCGCTCTATACAAACTTCTCGTGATTGCAAGGAGACAAACGCTTCCATAGCAGTCTGGATGACTGAACGGGACTGCTGTGCTTATGCTCAGCCAAATCTCTGGCACAGCAAGCATTTATCAAACTAGTTAATAATTTGGACCTTCTTTTGAGAAAACTAACAGATGAACCTGAGTCAAACCTGTAATAAGCATGGGCAGATGTGGCATTCTCAGGCCTCAGGAAAGACGTCAGAGGACACTGTGATGTGTTTTCCAAATAGCCATTCAGTAAGTGCCCTTGACCAACACCCTTGGGCTGTCAGCCTCTTCACCAGTTGACTCAGCTGCCCAATTGACTCATCTCACCTAAGGCCACACCTTTTCATGGGGTATCCTGAATCCAATGACCCAGTGATTCCACAGTTTGAAAGTCGAGCCACTTTAGCCCAGCTGGGAACAACTCTGAAGGAGGCTCAGATACCCCCACAGGGTCCACTGAGGGTGCCTTCCATGTTACACTTTTCTCTCTGTCCTCTCCTGCTTCCCTCCGTGTCCATCCACAGGTTACACAGCCCAAGGGCATTCCTCAGAAACATCCTGCCTGCAAAAACTCTTCCAAATTCTGTGTCCCAGAGAACCCAACTGGCAACAGCGATACCCCCTGCCTGAAGCCACTTCAGTCACGGCCTGGTCTTCTACTAGTGACAGTCCACGTTCCACCTGCAGGTTTCCCTATGAGCCAATCAACAGTAGCTCCATGAAGGCACCAGAACATTGCCGCTTAAAGTGTCTCCCTCTCTGCTTTTCAAAATATTCACCCAATAATCCTTTATGGCCTTGTGGCAGGAAGAAGCCCCAAGAAGGGTTAGTTTAAATGGTGCCCTACCACTGCATCTCAGTCATAGATCAACACAACAGCTGTCTACAGTGTGCAGCCAAATATAGCAAAGGATGTTGAATAGATCACCTTCCTGCACCAAAATGGTACTTCTCTAACAAGTCTATTTCTTTCTCGGCTCCTTGATTTAGTGGCTTCCCCTAGTTTATGAAATATTTTTTACCCAGAGCCCACTGAAAACATCTTTGCCAAATAGAGTTCATCTTTGAACAGGTCACTTTTCTATTGAATTTTAACATTTCAAGAAGGAAAAGGGGGAGTATTTCTGACCCAGATATTCTTTGAACAAGTATTAAAGTGGGTTCCAAGGTGCCAGGATTTAAGCTCCGTTGACAGCCAATATAATCATCAGCTTGTAAAACAAAATCTTAAGTTCATGGCCGCACAGAGCACAGTGAACAGGCTTTGCTCAAATCACTCCAGTGATGAGGCATAAACAATTCTCATTTCTGTCCGTGGCCACGGCGCCTGTCTTGACTTCACACGGTAAGTGACAAAGCCATGATTTCAAACAGACCAGCTTGAATCTTTTGACAATCCTGTGCAGTTCAACAAATAATTATTGGATATCTCTTCAGTATGTATATTTTTGTGTTACCTCTCTGCCACTCTGTGAATGTTACCCTACAAATCATTAAATTTCTTTCTCCTATCTCTCTCTCTGCCTTTTGTCTACTATCATAGGAGGAAGAGCAGGGGGTGCTTCACTGAGAAGATGGAGGACAGTCTTCTCAGAATAAGAATGGAGGAGAAAGGAGTTCATTCTCCCCTTGGGAACTGGAGCTGAAGAAGATTTGACCCAGGAGGACTTCAAGAGGCAGAAGAAAGTTGTCAGAGGGCGATGGGGATTCTCCCTTTAATTCTCTAGACCAAGGTCCAAGTGAGGAAGTTGAGAGCTGAGGAGGGACTTTTACCTTGCTTCCCACTGGGGATACTTGCAAGAGAAGACCTTACAGGCTATGCCTACAACAGCATAAAGGGGGTGGACGCAGAATTGACGTCACAGAAAAGCACAGGTGTACAAAGAGAGAGCTTCTTTGCTCTCGGGTGCTCCAGACCACCTTGACCCTTGCTGTGCAGCCAGAATCCATAGCTCTGAGAAGTTCTGGAGGTAAAAAGTAGCTGAGGGTGCCATAATAAAGGTCCAGTTTCAGGGGCAGGGATGTGGCCCTTCCTCCTGGCATGTCCCCGTCCTGTGCTGCTGCGGACCCATGAAGTAGGCTATGTCTTCCATTCATGCACAGCCCAAGTGGCCCACCTGGAGCTCTCACCCCAGCCCACCTGGGACCCCTCTGCACAGCACTACAGGAAAAGGAATATGTTCAAAGCTTCTTTTAGAAACACTTATTACATGGCAGTCTCCTACGTGTTTATATAATATATGTAATACATAGAGAAAGACTATTAAATCCTTGCTAATCCCATGAGCTAGAAACTATAATCATCATTCCCATTGCACTGATATGGGTCACGGTATGGGGAGAAGGGAGGATCAAAAAGTGCCTTGCCCGGGATCTCACAGTTGGCCAGAGGCACACAGACCAGGGTTCAAACATAAGCCACCTGTCCTAGAGTCCATGAACTTAACCATTAGGCCACATTGTCTCTCCTTGATAGGGGGTGCTCATGGACAACAAGTGTGATGAATATAAGAACCATGTATACCGTGCTCGCTTCGGCAGCACATATACTAAAATTGGAACCATACAGAGAAGATTAGTATGGCCCCTGCACAAAGATGACACTCAAGTTTGTGAAGTGGTCCATATTTAAAAAAAAAAAACAGCTGGGCCTTGTTGCAGGCACCTGTAGTCCCAGCTACTTGGGAGGCTGAGGCAAGAGAATCACCTAAGCCCAAGAGCTGGAGGTTGCTGTGAGCTGTGACGCCACAGCACTCTACCAAGGGCGACAAAGTGAGACTCTGTGTCTATTAAAAAAAAAAAAGTCTGCCTTTGATTTTTTTACTGTTTCTTTGTATCATGAATTGCTTGAACGGTTTCTTAAAATGCATATTCCTGCAACTCTCCAGACAGAGTAAGAATCTGTACGGGTGGTTCTGATGCAAATGCTCCAAAGAACACATTCTGAACAATCCTCCCCCAGACCCCATCTCCTCCCTCCTTTTCTCCTCACTACACAGGCACTAGGTGGTGACTGTTGTGCACTTGTGATTCAAGTTCAGTCCCTCAGCTGCTCTGCAGTCAATGAGATCCCCAGAGATGGGAGCAAACATTTTCAGCCCCGATGACCATCTGTCCACAAGGAATACACATTAGTTCCAGTAGATGTCCTGTGGCTGTCACAGAGGAGCTTCTGATTCGGAGGGCAGGGTCCCTGGAGAATTCCTCCCTGTGTGTGGTGTGTTCCGAGGGCTCCAAGGCAGTGTCCACCCTCCTCCCCTGCCTTAGTGACATGTAGCATCTTTGAGTTTCACATCCTCATTCCACTGTGTTCCATCCCACATTCCTGCTCCCTGAGCCCTGGAGCTCTGCAAGGCTCTGTTTTCCCCTTGGGGGTTCCCAGAGTCGCGTCTGGTGATCTTTGTTTATTCCCACTTGCTGCCTCACTGACAATCTGTCCAACGAAGCTTCCCAGCTAGGATGAAATATCTCCTTGGAAGGCAGCTTCTGAGAGCTGGGGCGGTTCAGGGACTGGAGAGAGATGCAAATGGTGGTGTGGGTGCCTGGACCACCCTGCCATGGGTTCTGTCAGGGTGGTCTTGCCTGATGCAGGTGGAGTCCTTCAGAACCTCATTCACCCCATAACCAGCTGATGCAGGGGCCTCTTCCTCTTTCTGCCACCCTCCCAAGCCTCTTCCAGGAGTGATCCCCAAAAAGGAATCCCAGAGGATGACAGCAACTTTACAAAAATGCAAAGGTATCTTGAGCACTTCTCACTCTCCTTGTACAAAGAAGTAAACCAAGGCCCAGAGAGGAGAGAAACATACTTGACTCCTGAAGCAGGGAGAAGGATAGATGCACCTGACGGGGTACTTCCATGGTGCGTCACAGACCTGAGGACGGAATTCTGAGCTACCGCTGGTGCTTGGCAGGACCAGAGGCAGTGATGTTCTTGGAGGTGACCAAAAGTCAGGGGAGGGCCAAAGGCCAGTGCCTCTAGTGTGTACAGCCAAGAGATGCTTCCTGGGGAGAACTAAAGCTAATGCCAGACATTATTGAAAAACTGCAAGCCCCAAAGGAGGACACTGGGGACAGGCAAGAGGGAGCAAGGTGCCCAGAGGGGGCAGGGTGGAAGCAGAGGGTGAGCCTGACCAACAGTGTCTCCCTAAGCCATAGGGATGCTATGCCCCACCCCCAGCTTCCTACAGAGTTGGCACCACTATAGGTTTGGATTAGCAGGAAGTAGCAAAGGTGCCAATTTCAAAGAAATGAAGAACTTCCAGTGCTAATAGGTGAAAGCTAGGGCAAAGACCAGACCAGGAGAAGGAAGGTTGGCTGAAAATGAGGAATGAAAAGGATACATTAAAAGTCCATCGTTGCCATTACTAAGCCCGAAATGCCGCCCAGCTTGGATTTGACAGTTGTGTGCGGACTTGTGGGTTTTATACGCACAATAGAAGGAGTCGCGTTGGGTGGGGCTTGAGCCAGAAGTGGGAGGAGATGCTCCAGCTGCAAAAATCAAAAGGCAGAACCCTTCTAGAAGCCAGAGGGCGAGACTGAGAACGCACTGGAGACCTGGGGAGCTCAGGGCCGTCCGCAGAGGAGCCTGCCCCAGAGGTCAGGGACAGTCTGCACTTGCACTTGTCTGGTGACTGGCAAGGGGGGAGGAGGGCTCTGGCGCCAGAAAAACGGCTGGAAATGAGAGTGCCCTAGCCAGGGCCCGAGCTGGCAGAATTGAGGGCTAACGTGGTTGTCGGGGCTGCCCAAGACCAGGAGCTCTAAGGAAATCCAGGAACAAGGACAGTGCCAAAGCAGCACCACTGTCCACATCAAGGCCACTTCGCTGTCCTCATCATCCTCGGGCATGCTCACCCAGCACCCACCATTTGCTGACACTGTACCAAGTGATTTAATGACATTACTTTACATGAACCTTAAAGCAATGCGGGCCGGGCAGGGAACTCACACCTGTAATCCTAGCACTCGGGGAGGCCAAGGCATCTGGATTGATTGAGCTCACAAATTCAAGACCAGCCTGAGTGATACCTCATCTCTAGTAAAAATAGAAAAAAATAGCTGGGCGTTGTAGCAAGTGCCTGTAGTTCCAGCTGCTCCAGAGGCTGAAGAAGGAAGATCTCTTGAACCGAAGAGTTTGAGGTTGCCGTGAGCTGTGATGATGCCACAGCACTCTATCTAGGGTGACAGGAAAAAAAAAAAAAAAGCAGTGCAAATGTGCTTCAAAATATGAATCCGGAGAATGAGAAAAGCTAACGAAAAGCATCTCTCCTCTGCTCCTTAATTTTAGAGGCGGAGCAGCACGAGTTCAGAAAGCAAAGGATTTTCTTAAATCTGTATGAATCAATTCAGTTCGTGTGTTCGGGTAGCAAGCGTGTGGCTAGTGAGGGCTGGAACAGGGAGGGAGACGTGTGCTGTCACCATTTCTGGTTCACCAGCTGAAGGTGGTCACAGAGACAATGTAAGCTGTCCAGGGCAGCCCACCAGGGATGGCACCAAATTTGTCTCTGGGTCTGTCTGACTACAGAGTCGAATTGGTTGTGTCCCATCCCAGCTATGCAGGGATTGTAGGGCTCTTCGGAAGCTGAGCCAGGGACAGTGCTGGGGTCTGGGAAGGGACTATTGAGGAAGTACTAAGTAACAGAGAAAGTGGCAGCTGAGAACAGAGGTTGGGGGCTGAGGCTGACCATTTTTAGCTTGATAGTGTCCATCTGATTTTTCTCTGTAGCACCAATACCACTCAAAGCATCACTGATCTCACCTATCCTGGGCAAGTCTGGGTATGTCGTCCCAGCTTTTAAAAACCATTGTCCGTCTCCAGCCAACCCCAGAGAATGAAAGGAGGAAAAAATACTTTTCTGACTGGCAGAATTCATCAAAATGAATTGGCAACACCTATCAGCCTGAAACAGCAGTTTGCAACTTGCCTGGTAACAAATCTTTCCGGGGACATTATCTCACAGGGAACAACGCAGGATAAATTCTTAGCACAATATGATTCCTCCCTCCCTTCACCGCCTCCCCACTTCAGAAAGATTTAACATCTAATTCAGGGTTTGACGAGCTGCTTCATCTCTGTAGAAACACTGTTGATCTCTGTCGGACCCCAACGGCCTTGGGCAGAACAAACCCAAGGAAGGACGACACGGGGATGGTAGGCAGTGATAAATAAACACATTACTGCCGGCTCTGAAGGAGCTCCGTGACCTCAAACACAACTGCCGAGTTGTAGCTGTTTAACGAAAGTCACCCTATTTTCCTGCAACCTCAGGGTCAAGTGTGAAAGCCAAAGAGATGCCCACAGGGACAACCCCCTTCTGTCGGAATCCAGAAACAGCTGGGCACGTGGCTCTCATCAGAACCTCTCCTGGGATTTCCAAAACAAGCTAAAACACCTCCTAGGAGACGGGTCTCCCTGGAAAGGATTTTCCCAGGGAGGAAACTGAGGCTCTGAAGGAGTCGGGAAAGTGCTTTCTGTAGCCAGAAAGTGGTAGAGTTGAGGAGCAAAAGTAAATTGTGTTGAAAAATAACATCCCAGGGAGAACTGGGTTGTGGCTTGGTACGATCGTTACCGTCGCTGCTTTAGAGAAAATATCAATTTGTTATAAAAATATACATTTATGAATTGCTAAAACGAAAGGACACGCTTGAATTACACAGAAAAGCCAGTATTTTTATGCCGTTATCTGCGAACCGGGAGAGATTGTGGCCCTCGTTCCATCCCCGCCTTACAGAAACGTGAAGTGAGAACCGGAGAGGAGGTGGGGTCGGCTGAAAGGGGGCAGTGCACATGGCAGAGGTGGGGAGAAAGGCCACAGCCCCCTGACCCCGCCAAAGTCTTCACATCCTCTGGTTCACAGGAGAAAATAAAACACGTGGGCTGTGGAACACGTTCGGTAACAAGACTTGCACCAACCTGTTTGTGACAAGTGCCGTTTGAACAAAGAGCCGAGCAGGTCTGGGAGGATGTCCCACAGGGGGGACTTGGTCCAGGGTTTTCACTGAGAACTCACTTAACCTAACGTAACAGCACCATGCCTGGCACACTATAAATGCTCCGTAAATACGTGTGACCTGGATAAGTTTCCTTTCATTTCGGACAGATGGGCAGTGAGTGGACTCTCCTGGGAGTCCCTCCTCTTGACAGGTGGCTGACACTGAATCTTGTCTACCCTTTACTAATGCCTGCATTGTTTCCATCTGAATACCCACCGAATATTTTCTAGGAGACCTTATCGTTTGTTTGCCCACCTGGAAGCTGCCCGCATAATCTCCGCTTTCTCAGGAAGTGTGCACTGTGTCCCCTGCCCAGCTGAGACTGTTCATTGACATTGTTTCTACCGCTCTGGGTTGTGAAAGTACATAAAACGATACAGTCAAAGAAGACTGGGGTGCCTCTAATTCTGCAGTTGAAAAAAAATTCAAGAAAAGGCATTGTTTTAAGACTGTATTGGGGTCCTCGAACTTTTCAGACAGGGAGCCAGTTCACTGTCCCTCAGACCATTGGAGGGCTGGACTGTGGGCCCCAGGACGAGTCGACTTGCTAAACAGGACAGGCAGCAGCAGCAAAAACACGTGCGGGCCGTATAAATGTCCTCGGTGGGCCGCATGTGGCCCACAGGCGGTAGTTTGAGTATA